TATATGCAAGAGAGTATAAATTGAGAATTAGAAAGACCAGTTAAGAGAATGTGTCTGTCATTAGCTCAGGTAAGTATCGGAAGAGGTGATTTGAGGAAATGGCAATGGGTATGGAGCAGGCATTTAAAAATATTTGAGATGAAGTTAAAAAGACTTGATAACTCATTGAAAGTTGTCATAAACAGAAGTCTGGTATACTATAGATTTGAGGAAGGATATTTTATCATTTTTAATAAGGGAGAGATGTATGCATTGTTATGTACTAATGAAGAGGTTTTTAGGGCTGGGGTTGTGGTTCTGAGGTAGAGTGCTCACTTAGCATGTGTGAGGCACTGGGTTTGATTCTCAGCACCACATAAAAATAAAATATATTGTGTCCATCTATAACAAAAAATAAATACTTTAAAAAGAGGAGGTTTTAAAGCTAGTTATAGTCCTCATTTATTCCACCTGAAAACAATATTCATTCATGTGTCATTGAAGGTATTACTTTTGATTATTGTGTTCTGTTTTACAAAGTATATGTGCTATATTATCTTTTGAAAGCACCAAATTCTGAATTCCAAAATACATATGACTTCAAGAATTTTGGAGATTGTGGATTGATAAAACATACAAGAGGTTAAATAATAAAATATTTAAAATAACAACTAAAATAGTAACAGTAAAAATATCTAAAATCAGTACTTGAAAATTTGCTAGTACTTGGGTCATGGTGTTTCTTTTGGCTGCCCTGCAGATAGGCAGGTACTCAGTCTTAGATCCCTAGGGCCAGAGGTAGATGAGGTGGGAGTATTTTCCTGTCATGTCCAGGAATTAACAAAAGCCAGAATGTTTGTAAAAACCAAGTTCTTTAGAGAGTACTATCAAAATCAGGGAAACTAAGCCCAGTCATCAAAGGGTTAGAGATGACTTATAAAGGAAAAGAGTCACTGGAAAAGAAACAGGAATTAAGGCTAGGGTAAGGGTCCTGGAGAATTGTCACAAACAATGATGATAGATCTGCAACTTGTGGGGCATAAAGTTGATCACACTAATTAAAACTTAAGAGTTGGAATGAATTAGTATGGACAATTGGTGCTAGGACAGTAAGTCTGGAAGGGAACTTTAATAAGTTCATTTACTCCTAACCTTCTCCCTATTTTACAAATGAGTATCCTGAAGATCAATAATATTTTTTCCAATATCTAGGTGGTGGTTGAGCCACAACATAAAACAAGGAATCAAGTTGCCTATCTTATGTTGTTTCTACTACCACAGGGAGAGAGTATTTCAGTTTGTCAGGAATGACTTTTCAGGGAATATGAGATATGAATTGAGTGACTATTACTATTGTAATTTTTAAAAAATCATTTGAATAATCACTTTATTTATTTGTTTGTTTTTATATGTTTTTTATATTGGGATTGAACTCAGAGGCTCTTTACCACTGAGCTTCATCCACAATCCCTTTTATTTTTTGTTTGGAGACAGATACTCACTAAGTTGCTTAGGATCTTGCTAAGTTGGTGAGGTTGCTCTTGAACTCATCATCCTCTTCCCTCAGCCTCCTGAGTTTCTGGGATTAAAGGTGTGAGACACCTTGCCTTGCTGACTACAGTAATTTGCTAACACTTAATTCCCCATAAATATCTGAATGCATTTTTGTGTGTATTTTTTGTGTAACCCAATACCAAGGGCAGCCTTGATTTTGGCAATCTCCAGATCACCTAGGCAGTGTTTTGTACATAGTATGGTGGTGAACTTAGTAAGCTTCTCAGATCCAATTACCATTTTTAAAGGGTGTATGGTTAGGGAACCTTTAAATTCTCATTATCCTGTGATTTAGATGTGTTTCTCTATTTACTAGGATATAATAATTGTCATAAACACTGGTTTTAATTATTTAAGGATTACAAAGGCATAGGCATACGGATTTAAACTTTCCATGGAATATATCTCTTTTTGTAGAAGTATCTGAATCTATATCAAAAATAGATATAGATATTTTGATGAAAATAAAAAATAGCAATTAAACATTTGAAAATAATCATTTAATATTCACAGTTTGTATGGAAAGCATTGAATAATACATATTATTTGCCTTTGGGTAGTTTAGAGGATTTAGTAAGAGTTTGCATTTTTCTTTTTTTTTTTTAAAGAGAGAGTGAGAGACAGAGAGAGAGAGAGAGAATTTTTTAATGTTTATTTATTTTTTTAGTGTTTGGCGGACATAACATCTTTGTTTGTATGTGATGCTGAGGATCGAACCCAGGCCGCACGCATGCCAGGCGAGCGTGCTACTGCTTGAGCCACATCCCCAGCCTGAATTTTTCTTTTTTCAAAAAATTTTATAGGTGTATAATAATTATACGTAATAGTGGGTTTCATTGTGGAACACTTGTACATTCACATAAAATAGTTCGATCAATTCCTTATCCCAGTACCTTCCCTTGCCCTTCCCTCCTTCCTTCCCCTGACCACCTTCTTCTACCTTATTGTTCTCCCTTAAATCTAAAGAGAATGATGAATGAACACATATGAAAGTTTGTTTATTTGCTGCTGGATATTGAACCCAAAGCTTTGTACATGCAAAGCATGCACACACTTGACCACTGAACTGTACCCCCAGTCCCTAGATTCAATTTTATGTATGAAGCAAAGGTGAATATATTAATTCTGGGGAAGTTTCACAATATATGTGATATAGTGTATTTATCAAAAGTACATGAAAATAGCAATAAAACAAATTTATTCAGAAAACACTTTCCAAGTCCCATTATGTTCCAGATATGCTCTGAGGAAAATAATTTTGAGATGAAAAATCAGAGTGACGGGGAAAGATTTATGGGGGTGGTGTTTTAGATAGGATGATTATGGAAGGATACTCTGAAGTGAGAAATAATCAGTAAACTAGGTTAATGGGGGCAGATCATTAATTGATTTGGTTAAAACTAGGGGAGGAACATATTGGGGTCAAATCAAGAGTCAGGTTTGAATAGGTTAAATTTGAGATATACAAGTACAGATGTTGAATAGACAATTGCAGGCAGGAGTCATGACTTTAAGAATGAGTAATCCATGGGTCTATATGGGATGTGGGGATACCTGGAATTCTGGGGAAGACAGAGGTCATGGATTGAGTCTGAAATTACAACAGTAAGAGATTGGAAAGATGAGGGATGGCCCAGCAAAGAAGACTGAGAAGAAATCTCCGATGATGTAGAAGCAAAACAAGAACTGTTTGTTTTGGAGGCCAGGTGAAGAAAATATTTAAAGAAAAGGGTAGTCTTGAACTGTATTAGATGCTAGCAAGTGGTCAACCAAGGTAAAGTCAAAACAGCATGCTTTCTGCTGGTGGGAATGATTCAATAGAAAGAAGAAAATAGATGATGTGGAAGATGATGTGTGTGTTTGTGTGTGTGTGTGTGTGTGGGGGGGTGCTTGGTGGTGGTTCCAGAACTAAGCCTTTGAGTAAGCAATAGGGGAATAGACTCAGCTCAAAAGGATTAGCCTTAGTTAAAACACTGTCACTTCTGCCAAACAAATTTATTTGCCGGTATGCACTCACAAACCCATTTTCAAATTTCCATTTTCATATTCCCATTACTTTAAAATCTTTCACTTTTACAGAACCTATCTCTAAAGCTCGCCTTTTTCTCTGGATTTTAAGCAGAATAAATGGGAGAGAACTGTTGGTGATTCTTGTTCGTAATTAACTGCCAACCTCTGTAGCTTGTTTTGCTTTCTTAGCTCTTGAGGCCAGATGGTGAAATAAATGGAGGGCATAGTTCAGTGTTCTCTGCAAGCACAACACAACTGTAAGTGTAGAAGGGGGAAGGAGTGGTGTGAGTTTTATGCAGAATGTTAGAAACCTCTCCAAGGTACTGAGCTAGCTTAGGAGTTGTTGCAGTTGCTCTTTTAAGTCTCTTTTAAGTGTCAAAGGTTTGGAATAACTGTTTTTTTTTTGTTTTGAAGTCTGAAATGTTTTGATGAGTGGTTTTGATCATCCATTACCTATGTAAAAGACCATACTTTATTTATCTCCGTAATATCACTACTGAGGACTTCAGTGTGAGGCTCACAGGAGCAAAGCAGTAAAGCTTGTTTTGGAGAAGATAGAAGAATTACAATTACTATCACTAAAGATCCAGTATTCTCAGAGCGGGTCGAGGGAGGGTTAGCATCATACACCCTGTCTTCATCACCACAAGGAGAGTTCAATAAATAGTGTGTGTGTGTGTGTGTGTGTGTGTGTGTGTGTGCGCGCGCGCGCACTCACACACACACACACACACTGGAAACATTCTGTTATCAGTAACGTGAAGGCATGTATCCAGAGGATCTTGAAGAGGGACAAGGAGGTGTGGGTAAGGATCACAGGTATTCTAATTTCTTTTAAATCCATTCTCTCCTGCTTCTACCTTCTGGAAGGCTAGCGTCTACTGGAGTAAAATCCCCGCCCTAGTATTTGTCACTAAGTACTGAAATGGGCGTGGTTCTGCATATAGGACACCTGTTTTTCGTGAACCCCGCAAGTAGGTACTCCTGGAATCCTCCTCTAGCACTGACTAATCAAGCGCTCCGGAGGGTCCCCCAGTACCCACATTCTTTTTTGGGAATCCTCCCGCCAGCAAGGCTGCTCTGTAGTTCTAAGAGGGCCTGCTGAGCATGTGTAAAGAGCGCCGCGCATGCTCCGTGAAGTGGGCAGGTTTACCGAGGCGCTAGCAGTGGCTTTTACTACTCTTCACCCGCCTCCCTCGCCTAGCACGCCCCCCTCCCCTCTTTCCCACCCCCACCACGCGGTCCCCCGCATTCACCCCGCCCCTCTTTCCCACCCCCCTCACCCCAGTCTGGGGAATCTCCATTGACGTTCGGGTGACGCCGCCGTGCTGCCGCCGTGGGGGGTTCCAGGCGCCGCACAGGTAACGCCGCCGCTGCCGCCATATTGACAGAGCCCGGAGCGGGGAGGGGGCCTGAGGAAGGGGGTTAGCTGGGGGTTTTGGGGGGGGGGTGGTCACCGTCAAGCGGCCGTCGCGCCGGCGGCAGTGGTGCGCAAGAGCCAAGCGGCAGCTCTTGGAGAGGCAGCACAGAGTTGTCTTCTCTATGGGAGCAGCAGTGTGCGGCGGAGACCCCCGGGTCCCAGCCTCTGAGGGACCCCGCTGCGAGGGCAGCGGTCGCTGAAGGCGGGGCTGGGGGTCACAGCAGAGACGGCGGTGGCAGCAGCGGGCCAGTTCAATAGACAGGATGCACTGCCGCGCAGGCGGTCCGCAGCTCCTGTTCGAGTGCTCCTGAAAGCGCGATGCTACCAATCCCTCCTCAGGAAGAGCCCTGGGACCAAGACATGGAGGTGTTCGGTGGCGGCGGCGGCGGCACGAACAGTGGCGAGGTTAGTGTGGTGGCCAAGATAGCCTGGAGCCAACTACCCTAGTTGCTACAGGACCCTAGTTGGGGGCCAAGAGAGAAAGGGCGTGGGGGAAGAGAGCGGGGCTCCCAGGCAAGCCCCTTTGAGGCTGCAGGGCGGTGGAGCACGCGTTGTCCCAGTTGTGCCTTCCCTGGGGAGCGGGTGGGGATGAGGCGGCGGGCTCCTGTGTAGAGTGCAGCCCCAGCTGGGCCTCGGAAACGCCTGTCTCACTGGCTATACTGGAGTTGTTGTGACTAAGTTTCTCCACTTTCCAACCCGAAGTAAGACTGGGGGACGCCGGGGGTGCAGTGCCTGACTTGGCGCGTCCCTCTTTCTCTTATGAGCTGGGTTTGCTTGCTGGGAAGACTTCAGGGGACCTCTGCGGACTGCTTACGACTCGCTTTTAAACCCTGGGAGCTTTAGAACCCAGTACAACAAAAACACCAAGGTGACAAAGTTACCCTGGGGACATTTCTGCAGAGGGACGAGAGTTTCTTCATAACTTAGCTTTCTCGTTTTTTTTTTTTTGTTTGGTTTTTTTTGTGTGTGTGTGGCTTGTTATTATTTTTTCACCTCAAGTAGAGATGATCAGTTGGCAGGGTTTATCTACATTCACGTGAAGTTCTGCTGCCTCTTCTCACGTCCCCTTATTTTGCTGCCCTTTTCCTTCTCTCCTTTGCTTTTCCCCATTCTCAGTCCCCGCCCCGTTGGTCTGTAAAGGAAGACTTAAAGTGAACCCTAGCCAGCCTTTATAAGATGAATCTTTAGTAAGACTTAAGGAGGTTCAACCAAAATTTTGGTTCGCCTCTCTTCCCGCTTCTCTTCTGAAACTGTTCTGTTTGGGCTTTGGTCAGCAGTGCCGTGAGAAATTAGATGTGCACAAGTACTTTGTTGTTATAAAAAGCGGGCAACATTTAAATATAAAAAAACATGTCTATCACAACAGAACATCAGATCCTTTTCTGGTAAATAATCAACAGCATATTACTCTGGAAGAAGTCACTATACACCTCCTAAAAATAGTTGACAAATGCCGAATTGATTACTAGTAGGCTATTTTAAGGTAAAACTTGCACTCCTGTACATCTCAAGGGTGCAACTTTGTCTTCAAGTACTTGCTCCATCTTTAAAAAAACACTTTGGACAGTTGTATGATTTTCTTATGGTTATCTTCTTCTGTTTTGCTTTCCTTAATTTTTTTTTGCAACTAAACGAGTTAGATTACATATTAGAATAACATGCAACAAGAAATATGGTGGAAATAAAATCAGAAGTACCCTGAAGTTGAACCCTTTATATTTTTTAGGAAATATTTTACTAGTGAACTAGGCTGTACCAACATATGGTTTAACATTCTTCATCTCTTATGACTAGTATATACTAAACAAAGAGGGGCCTAATTTCTAGACTCTTCAAGAGTACATAAAACTATTTGTTTTATTTCATGTGTGTAATCTATTGATATAGTCACAGACATTTTGTTGATAACAAGTTAAATGCTATAATATAAGGATGGAATGGGAGGTGGGGAGCCATTTGCATGTGTACTATTTATTATTTTAGCTAATTTTGAATGTAGTATGTTTTAAATTGTAATTACCACATATGGTTTTTTTTATTGTTTGCAGTATGTTTTAGGTATTGTAGAGATTTAACAATGGGTCTCTCTACCTCAGCAATTTGGAAAAATACTCAAGTGGAAATTGTTAATCCCTATGAAGTAAAACGAAAGGTGAAGGTAATGTGGTGAAGGTAGTATTTCTGCCTTCTTTGTCTAAAACAATTAAGATTGGTTAAATTTAGCCTTGTTGGTGACTTAATTAAAATAGGTGAAAATTTAATGCTACATTTGAACAGATACACTTAGTACTTAGAAGACTTTTTGCTTTTAATGATATTCTGTTGATAAGAAGGAAATAATTTTACTTCCTAGAATATATATTTAATTTCATGTTGATGTTGGCTTTAGAAATGCTTGCTTCAAGTATGAACTTTACAACCTATAACTATTAGTTTTTAGGACTAAGGTGCTTTTATTATATAATATGCATATTTTAAATGTGGTAGAATTCTGAAAGAAAATGTAGGTAAGAATAGGTTAAATTTAATGTCAAAGGAAATAATTTCTGTCACTTTCTCTGTGTGTGTTGAATCCTGGTAAGATCAAATATTATAAACACTACAATATATTTTGGTATCTCTTTCAGTGTTATCTTTTACCTATCTTACTTGTATGGGCAATTGTTAACCATTGACTTGCCATTCAGAAGTTTGTATATTTGCTGTTTGAGACTCTTAAAATGTTTTTGCACAAGAAAAACTTATTATGAATAGTTACATTTTTAGATCAGGGCATAATAGAAGAAGCAGGCATAATGATGAAAAGCCTAACCACTGTTTGAAAATTTATCCTTTGGTAAAATGTGTCAAGGTTTTAAATAAGAAGTACTTTGGTTCCAGTGAAAGATGGCAATGGGTTTGAGAAAGGGAAATATGGGCTTCATGGTTTCTGAGAAGAGAGTTCTTGGAAGAGGGGACATAGATTAAGTGAGAACTCTGGTTTTCAGAGCTAAGGTACTATCTCAATTAGGTCTACTGGGAATAGGAACTTCAAAGGTTATCCCCCTGACTCAGGAAGCTAGTTTTAGCTTTTGCCTGGATTCTGTCAGGATCACTGTATTACTTGAGATGGGGTGAGTATATGTCATTAGTGGGCTGTTTATGAAGTACAGACTATTTGAGTAATGTGAACTTTATACAAATTAGTTTCATGAGCATTAGAGTTTATGTACTTATTTTTAAAAAATTTTTTGGTGAGGGAGTGCCTGTTTCTTTAAAGAGTAGTTGATTGTAGGGTTTTAAAATTGCATATCATATAATATTAAACTCCTGCTTTTATATTATTTCTTTAACAATACTGCTTTTGTTTAAGGAAGTTAGTTTTAATAGTAATATTATGTCACTGATAATACAATTTGAGATTAAAGTTACAAACTTTAAAAATTTAACTAGGATAGCAACTCTTTTCCAGATTGGGGAAAAAAAAAACTGAAAGTTTAATTTTATGTGACCTGGTAGTAATAGAGCAGAGAACATGTTCTTTGGAGGCAGATAAATCTGTTCCAAGCTTACTCCCATACTAGCTGTGGGATCCAGTGTATAGCTCTCTGAACTTCAGTTTCTTTATCTGTAAATGGGAGAAAAATATCTTCAAAAGTTTTAAGTAAAGGGAATGCAGTGTAAGTTTTTATACACTTAGCAAGGTGTTTTGCACATGGTAGGTCTCCATTAACAATAGGTCCTTGTCTTTCCCCACTAAACTATGAATTTTTTTCACTTATATTAAAATCCTTGGGATTTAGATATCCCCAGGATCCCTCACTAATGGAGAGTTTTTTTTAAAAGACCTTCTTCATAAATATGACCACTTCATCTAAATATATTGGAGCTCCTATTCTGCACATTTGTAATCACAAATAGGGTGATTCAGGAATAAAATATGAGGTTATATTTAGGAAAACTTTGAGGAATATGGATAAACAATTTCATTATTATAACTGAGCAATAAAGTGTTTCATTGATTCTTTTTTTTAATTTCTATTTGGAACTCTTGTTATAGTAGGAATCATTTAATTCATTGTATTTATTGAATATAGGCAATGCAGTACAGAGTTATAATGTGAAATGCCATTACATTACAATATATCATTATATCACAAAATCCCACCCTGCTCCTACAGGTTTAAATTCAGGTGAGCTAGGCAGAATTGTGTATAAATTATTATCATAAAGACACAAAACCATCAATAATTGAGTTAGAATAATGGGAGTGGTTTAGAATGAATCTGTTAAAGCCTTGTGAAGGAAATGGAATTTGAGGGCATTATGGAGTAGTAATATTTTGACAGAGATTGAAGGAACATATTTCAGGTAAATGGGAAACAATATAAGCAAAAGCAGAGAGGTGTTCTTGGAAGAAGGAAATATGTGTAATATTGTTCATATATGTGATATTGTGAGAATACAAATTTGTGGCGTAGAAGTGGTGATATGGTGCAAAATGAGATAAGAAATGTAAAGACGACACCCAGATTTATGGAACTTTTAAAGCCAGTTAAGTGTTCAGTTATGTCTTATAATTGGGAGCTATTGAAGGTTTTTGAGGACATGAGTGACATTATCAAATTTGTGCATTGAAAAATAACTAATGATAGTGTGGAGGATGAATTGTAGTAGGGGAGATACTAAAGGTGGGGAATACCAGCTATGAGGTTATTGTATTAATGGAAATAGTAGTGAAATTTTTGAACTAGAATGGAAGGGTAGAACTATGAACAAGAGGAAAGACTTGGCAGAGGTAGACTAACTACAATTTAGTAACTGATTATATGTTGGGGAATAAGAGGGAATAATATATAACAGATTCGAAGTGTGGTGATAGGAATTAATTTAATTTAACGTATATTTAATATGTGTCTGTCATTATGTTTGTACTAGCCACTAGATTAATAAAATGATAAATAGATCTTTGTAGCATAGTAAGATAAAAAACCAATGTAAACTTCCCTCCTCTTTAATATTGTCTTGTGCAATAGCAGATCATTCAATAAAGATTTCTGGTCATGCTTGGCATGCTTAAAATCTTTTCTATTACAGGAGAATGTACTTATTACTAGCTAGAAAATTTTCATGTTTTTTTTCCTTCTAATCAGCCATGGGTATAGAGTGTTGTTTAGAGTACATGGGTATAGAAGTGACTAGTTCTTCTTTCTGGAATGTGAAAAAGAGAACAGGGACATCTATATTTCTTGTACGATTTTACTAGGTTTACTAAAAGCCATCAAATTCGTCCAAGTCTGTCTTTCTTTAAGGTAGTCTTGTCTGGAAATATTCAGGTCACTTCCTCTAGGGCAGGGCCTCTGTATTATACTATCTTGTATATTTCATCAAGAGAGCTAATCATTACTTCCATCTGTGGTACAGTTGCTTTCTTAGACCATATTATTTCAAAATTACCCTTCTCATAGTCTTTTTCATCTGTAATTTCAAGAAGGAAATTAGCATTTTTAAAATTTTCTTATAATTGTTTCCTTGGTTGGTGATATTACCCTATTTAGCAGCAGTTCTCCAGAGTTGGTAAGCATATGGAATGTAGAGGTAAGCCTTTCAGTACTTTGTAAGAATTTGTCATATAATGTTTACTCATTTATGTTATTCCTAAGGATTATATACTGTTCTTGCTAATAATTTTTCTTTTCTTGGTGAACTTTATTCTCTTTTTATTTGTTTTTAGATGGGAAAAGAGTTGGACAGGAAGGAGATTTAGAGCCAAATGTCATCTGGCTTTTGTAGATGATAGAGAGATTGTCTGAATTATCCTGAAGGCATTCTTTGTGACTGATTTTACTGATAGATTTTAACCTGTATTCATACATTTGAAGTAGTTGGTGCTGCTATATATGAGATATAGAGAGTGAATGTATGTATTACTTAATGTCTTGCTTCATTTCATTAAGTGTTTGGTATAGGAAATAAAATCAGATAACAAATGCTTGATATTTAGGGTGTAAGGGATAAGATAAAGTGATAAATGTATGCAAAGGGTGGAAAATGGATGTGCAGTATGAAATAGAACGTAAGTAACTAGGTTCTAGGGGGTTTACTAAATGTTTAAATATAGTTGTTATAAATTTGGCTTTGAATTTCCTTGGGCAAGTATTGGGTTAGTATTTCTCAACTCTGGATGTATGTTAAATTAACCTGGGAGTTCAAAAAATTACTCATGCCATTGCTTAATTCAAAAATGCTCAAATTAACTGATATGGAGGGGTCCTTGAACATCATTCCCCACAATTCCCCATAATTTTGATGTATAGCCAGAGTAAAGAAACCACAACTGTAGGCCAAAGCCAAAAGAGAAATCATGTAGCTCTCATTATTGAGCAAAAAGAAAAAAAACATCAGTTTCTCAGCTAGCAATTAGGAAAGTAAATTTGTATGTTTTATTATGTTGTTGTTTTAAGATATGACTGGGGCCAAAAGAGGTTTTTGAGCTGTCTTGTATGCTCATGCTTTTAGTTAGAAGAATTTGCTTTTCTGTAAGAGTAAAAATAAAATACTAGTGTCCTAATAATTTTGATCTGGTTCAGCCCCCAAGTTAGCAGGTTAAATAAACTGTGTACCTCATTATTAGCTAAGTAAGGGGCTAGTTAACATTTTAAATAATAAATATTACATTAACTCTCTAAACAAAAATCCCAAAGGCCATGTGTAATTATCATTATTTTAGAACTTATCTGCTTCTTGTATAAAATGGTTAGGGACAAACTTTAAGAGTAAATATAGCAATCCTACTATAATTTTTATATCCCCAAATACACTGAAATTCATTCCCTCTTAAATATATCTAAACTTGAGAAAGACATGGCATTTATTGAGCATGTAGTATGGAACAGACACTATTAGATACTTCATATAGATTATCTAATTCAGCGTTTTCACTCTTCATAACTGTTCACTAAGACAAATGGACCTTTTACACATATGAGAAAGAGGCAAATCAGTGAAAGGACTATCTGGAAATTGAAACTAGATTGTTTTAAGTCCATGCCTTTTCCTTTTTTGCATTGCAGTCTTCCCCATAAGGATAACATTGAAGACAAGGAGAAGACATAGATAAGTTGTTGGAAACCATGTCAGATATGCTGATTCAATAAACATGTGTCTACTTAGTTTAAA